TCCATCCATCCATCCATCCATCCATCCATCCATCCATCCATCCATCCATCCATCCTATTTAACATCACCAAGCATTAACAGATCTTATGAATCTTATTTATGAAACAGGTTTGAACTCAACAATTCTAAAGGGAGCTTTGTGGCTTTTAATAACATGTCAGCATCCTTCCTCCTCCCTCCTCCCTACCCAGCCTAATGAGTTCTGGACAATTCAATCCACTATTTTGGATATTTTGCTTGGCCCATAATAAAGGTATTACCCTATAATAAATATATTATCCTATTCTTTGAAGTTTTCATACGACCTACATGGCTTAGTTTGCTTTGAATGCTGGAAAATTCATCCCAAGCTAGGTTCCCCCGCCCCTGCCTTTCTTAGCTATGCATAAAGATTGAGGAAGAAGTATCTTTCTTCAACCCTCATTGTACACTCTCCATATAATAACTGTTGCCATAATTTGAATAAATAAGTCAAGACAACCCTTCCAAGTAATAAAATCTTTCCACTGACCTATGATTTTTTCCCTCCCCTTTCTCCCTAAATATTTACTTAGTAAGAGGCTTAAGAAGCAAACATTACCCAGCAATCTTAAGGCTGCTTTACATAAAATGGCAAATGTGTATATTCACTGTGAAAGTTACAGTCTCTCTGTGGTCTCACAACATGTACAGGGAAATACACTTTATTGCTAAAGAAGCTAAAATGATACACATATAATCCAGAACAAAGGAACTTTTAAAACATTGTCTTTACTAAGTGTCTGGCAGTTTGTGTATACCAGGACATAGTTGTATAAGAGGTCTGCCACTGAACTTGTGTAGAATAAAAACAGTTTCAATATGAAGCTGTCTGATAACACCCCTCAGCTTTTTACATGCTAAATATTTTCAGCAGGTGTACATTAACACAAGGATGAATGCAATGTTGCATGTGAAACATAATTAATAATTAAAAAAACACTGATTATAACTGTATTCCTTAATTAGTTATTACAATGGTACAAAATCATGCAGAACATTAATTCTAAATATGTTAATAACAATAGTTTTTTAAAAAAAATGACAAAAAAGTACAATTAAACTCAATGCCACTTCAAATAATGGTGATGCATATTATTATCTCAGGCCCCAGTATTGTTTTAATTCAATGGTAATAAAATCCTCACTTTAGAGGAATCAGCTATGCCATATTAGATTGGTATCTTTGCCTACTACAGCAGCATATGCTACAGGTCCAAAATAAAGGCAGGGCCAACTTAGATGGGAATAATAAGGTATATTTTTCTTTTCTTGCTCATGTATAAAGCATTGTCTTATATCTGAAATAAAAATGAGGCTAACTGAACTGTCAGTCCCCATTTTCGCTTGCTCCTAAACTACAGGCACTTTTCTCCCTACTGAACTCCAACACTAGAGGTGAACATGACTAAGGAAAAAGAATGATGTCCATCTTTCATTTTTAGAAATACAATTCAAGCATATATTTCATCATTAGAATTACTGTCATCCCAGGATGAAAGATGAAAGTTTATTACACATAAACAAATAAAAAATAACAGCCCATCATAATCAGCTCAGTTAATAATTATTGGCCTAGCTAGTTTTCCACAATTCCATTTACTTTAATGGGGCATGCTCAGAAAATTCATAGTGGATTTTTCCTTAAATTCATAAAGAAAAAGGCTGCAGTTTGTATTACTGGAAGTATCGTAACAATATTAGCAAATCTGTTATCATTTGTCAAATCAAACTATGCCCTCTAATCAACATCTTCAACCCAGAAATGCAGGCACAAAATTATATTACACATATCTAAAAAAGTAACATTTGTATATATTAATGGTATGTTCCTGTTCCAAAAATGGTATCAGTAGAAATGAAATGTCACAGGAGTTGCTATGTGACATTCAGTTCTGTAGAGGAATTTTGCGAATGTCTTTGTAATAGAAAATTAAGTTTCGTTACCAGTCTGTTAAAATAAAACACCCAAATTCAACTTTGGTTTATGGGTACAGATATCCTGATGCATATATAACATCTTTGTCCACAAGGAGCTGTCTCATTCATTACAGCAGATGAAGCTGATTGACATCTGTATATCAGATCACATGCACAGATCCCTGAATACAATAGGCAGAACCTTTTGGTATCCACCCAGTTTTACACTGCTGCTCCCATTTAAACCACAGGAAGGATTTCTTTCAAAATATGTCCTACCAGCTACTGGAGGGCTAGAGGGGGGTATTACATGTATATTAAGCATCAGGCAACAACAATGGGTATTTCCAGCCCAATGGCACCGGGCAAGCTGAATATCTAGATTTGTTAACACATAGGAGAGCTCATGCAGTTGGCAGAATTTGTCATAATTTTCACAATTGCAATTCTCTATAGTCTCATTGCACTTTTGATGAAAAAAAAACTTGACTTAAGTATTTTGGATGAGAGCTTGAGCTTGCTGTTTTCTTTTTCTTCTTTTTGCTGTGCTTCTTGTGCTTCTTCCGCTTTTTTGTTTTATCCTTTAAAAAGGAAAATACCAAAAACAATTGTTATATACGGAAACCAGCTGATTCCAACTCAAGCTTTGTCTTTCCAAATGTATTTTCAAGGAAAGAATTAATTAAAGCAATTGAAACATCATAATAAGCTTATCTAAATCAAGAATAATAAATACCACTCTTCTGGAAGCTTTACAGACGGCACTGTCCACAGGTTTACCTCTAGAGTTGTTTTTCTTTACATATAAAGTTCTAACTTTAATTCCCCATATCTCATATAATTAATCTGAAAAAAAAATCCAAGAAAGCTAATTCAAATTCTGTTGCCAAATGGTATTAGCAGGGCTGTATTAAACAATCTGATTTGATTTGTTAATTCATTCTATCCATTATTACCTTGTTAGGACTACTATATTCAGAGAAAAAAAATTAATCTGTGTCTTAATCCCTAGAACCAATAATCTAAAATCAATACTGTAGCACTCATTATTTATTTATTTGATTTCTATCTTACCTTTCCTTCAGGAGCTCAAGGCACTGTACTCCTTCTGCACTCCTATTTTCTGACCAGTGTATCTACTCTAAGGAGGATTAAGTACCTATTGAACTATTATGTAATAGTTCAAAATCGGCCAGTTTTAGTGTCATTTCTATTGATATAGTAAAGTCAGAGAAACCTCCAGAGCAATTGAAAGAGGGATGTTTGCCCCAGCAAATGTATATGCTGATATAAAATTTGGAGGATGTATTTAAAATTCTTAGATAGATTAAAAAAACTTACATTTTTCTCCTTTTCTTCACTGTTTTTCTTCTTTTTTGCTTGTACCTAAGTGTGAAGAAGCAGGAGAGAATACATATTTTTCAAAAAAGCTGAAAAACTGAAATAGTGACCACAATAGAAATGCTGCTTAATAATTTGGAAAAATGGCACACTCCAATATCAATTATTCACTATCTGATAATTTCCTGTTTTCCACATCCTGCACGCCATGCCTAAACTTTTCAGAACATCACGGCCACCATTTTGGGGTTCTAATTAAAAGAACTACTACAAATACTCCCCAATTTCATCTGCCTCTCCTACCAGATCCAGCAGAGAGGGCATGTTACGGGTTCCGTTGCCTAGGGAGTTATATTTGGCAGACCCTAGGCAGTGAGCCTTTTCTGCTGTGGTGCCTGCACTGTGGAATCTTTTCCCCCCTGAGGTGAGGTTGGCCTCATCATAGCAGAGCTTCTGGAGGTCCCTTAAGACTTGGTAATGCCAGCAGGCCTGGGGACCCCAGGGGACAGTGGAATTAGTGAGGTGGTTCCCTTATTTTTAACATCTTTTTATTCTCTCTGTTTTATTTCGCTTTTTATATTTTTAATGTATTTATTGATTGTTTTTAGCTTTGTTGTACGTCGCCCAGAGTCACCTGTGGTGAGATGGGTAGCTATATAAATTGGTTTAATAAATAAATAATCAATAAATACAGTCTAGAAAGAACTATGTAAGAAAAATCCTTATGGGTCTCTTAATTCATAGTCATCTGAAGCAGCACATATGGGAAAATTGTACCAATGTTTCTGCATATGCATATGGAGATCTCAACTTGGTGAACATTTTTAAATCAGTGCTTTGCTTTACATTTATACCGACCTCCTCTGTTTGAAGAGATTCTGATGAAGAATCTGATGGTAATAATTCTTCCACACGGTCTGCTTTTATTCTTTTCCTAACAAGACTTTTGGAATCCTAGGTAAAATAAAAGCCATGTGACTTCTAAGAGATCAAATATCTAGTTATGGTCAGCTTTGAAAACTCACATTTCTTCTGATAAAGAATAGGAATGAATTGTGTGCACGAATCGAACCGGCTTAAAACAATAACAACATTAGACTGCCCAACCAACCATAATAATATAAAAATACTTAACATTAAATTAAATTAATAAATACTTAGAGCTCAACTGGTATAACAGATTTGAAGATCAGTTTTTGGAATTAGTTCTGCATAACAACTAGCAATTTCAATGTTCAACAGCTGTAATTTCAGAGCTATTTTACAGTTAGGCAGCTGGGAACTTGCATCCAGATGGTTATTCTATAGTTGGAAATTTATTTCCAAGGAATTTTTAAAGGCAATATGAAACTGTTTTACCTTGTCTCTTTCATAATCTTCCTTTGACCGTTTAGTTTTTAGGCTGTCCTAAATAATAAAAAAGTAGTTATGATTAAAAGACAGCATTAATGACAGCATACATTTAAATGTTCTGTATAAGCAGTGCAGAAGCAACAGCAATTGATATTCTGGAAATGAAACATTCAAAACAGAGCTTGCAGTGAAAAATAAAACAGATGCGTATTATGTTGCAATATAGAGACTAGGGCTTGCTGAGCAAACATTACACCAGTTTAGAACAGTTTAGAACATGCATTTCTGCCACCAGTGCACTCCTAATCAATGTGAAAATTCATTCGTAAATTAGATAAGGATATTAATATTTTTATACTTTACCTTGCTATCAGAATCAGAATCTGAACTAGAGCTTTCAGATGACTTCTGTAAGGAGCAATATTTTTTTTTCTTTCTCTTTTTCCCTTGTTTCTTATCCTAATCATAAATATAAGAAAATGATTGGATTTTGTTCACATTAAATCATTTGAGACATAAAGGATAAACCTGTTTTCTTATAGACTAGCCACAGGAATAACTGGACTTTATGTAAGTTCTTCCCATTTCTGTTAAAAATATTGATAATGTTTCTGTTTAAAATGTCTTTGATTAGTAATTCTTTATCCAATATAATTTTAATATTCTGATTTCATTGACTGAACTCAAAGATCAGAAAGCCATGAAAAACTTTTTTCAGAGAGAAACAAGTAGAACTGATACAAACATTCTTAAAGATGAAAATTTAAAAAATTAAATGGATGCAGGGTTTAAAAATACTCATAATTCAATAAGCGTTTGTTCAAAATGCTTTTCTTTCTGACTAGCCAAACGTTTCCATCAGACTCCTCTAAATTACTTTTCTTTCTTCAAGAGATCCATACCTGTTCCTATCACATATGCGTGCTAGAATCTTGACTAGGAACCAATCAAATCTACTTTTTCTTCCCTAAAATAATCCCCTCTGCTATTAATTCACAATGAAAAGACCACCTTTGGGGCTTTAATATGTTAGGTGGTTATATAATACATTGTTCTGGGTCTGAGCACTTTTCTTTTGCAATGGTTCAAGGCATCTTGCCATTCTGCTAAACATTCAGTCTTGTAGGGATGCTCAATACTGTCCACGCTTGTGTACTGCAATAGGAGGGTCCTTAAGAACTGATACATGGTGTTTTAGAAATTCAATGATCTGTTTAATAAATGTACTGTGAGAGCAGAGTTTCACTTTTTCCAACAAAATTATTCATTTTTGCTGGCATTTACTTAAGCCTGTTCTGTTTTCCATTCAAAAATAACACAAGTTGCTTCCGGTGTGAAAGCAAAAAATTGGACACCCTCATACTAAACTCAATTCAGCAGTTCCAAGGCATGAACACCCAGGACTTTATAAACCCACACAACAGAGGAGGGGAAAGAGAGTAAGAAAACTATAACTGCTTGAACTATACATCTCTCCCTCTTGCCTCTGCCGATATATGGGCTTGTAAAGCTTCCTGCGTTATCCAGTTACAGAAGATATAGGAAAGATCTTGGATTTTAGTAAAGTCAAGAAAAGACCTTCTATATAGATGAGAGCCATTAAATGAATGAACTAAATATATTTCCAAGTAACAGATGGGAATCAGGAAAAAAATAATAATTTTCTCCCTTCTAGTGTCAGTCTTCCGTGTGCATCTATAGGAGGTAGTGGCATTTCATAAGGCTGCCCTTTCCCAATATACATGGAGGGTTCCTTGCTTTCTCCCAACAGACTATGAGGTTAGTACAGGAGGAAGGGGAAAAAACAAGATACAGTTTCATCCTCCTCCTTCTTAGTTTGGTCCTCTAATTCTCTGGAGTGGATTCTCTCTGCTCCCATTTTGGTCAGCAGGAGAATACAATGACTCTGGATGCTAGTCAGCAAACTTAGGGATGGGCTGTCTATCAGATGGTTTTAAAAAACAGTTCCTTGAAAGATTTCTGACATTTCAATGAAAATGACACTGTTTTTCCTACATTTACATATCTATGTTCTATACAAAATTACAGAAAGTTACATTTCAGACTTACCTCATCTTCAGCATCAGATGAACTGCTGGAAGAATCAGAGCTTGATGAGGAAGAGGAAGATGGAGACAACTTGACCAAAGACAACAAGATGTAAATTTGTGAGATGCAGAATTTGTTACAGAAGTATAAAAATGAACACACTAATTCAAAAAAACAAAATTTATGGATATCATCTGAAGCTGCATCACCTGGGCTTAAAAACCAATATTAAGGATTAACAACAAAATTCCAAAAATCCCCTTTTTCCCTTTAAACAAGCTATATAACTATCTTAGCTTTTAGGTGTTGAGAAATAAATGAAATCGTTGCTCACCCTACTGGATTTCTTCTTCTCTTTTTTCTTTTTCTGAAAAAAGGATTTTACTCCCATTAATATGTTTGAATGGGCATCACTAGTGAAGTTACATTTTTGAAGTATGTCCCTTGATAACAGCCAAAATAATGCACTTAAAGCAAAGACTATCATAACAGGTAAATTTAAAATCCATGGTTCTGCATGGAGTGCATGAATGAGGACATTTACCTCTTTCTTTCTTGAAGTGCTCTCATTTCCACTTAACAATTTCTCTCTATGTTTTTCCAGTTCTTTTTTCCAGTTCTGAAAGACAATTGAATGCAATTATGAGTATTTCTCAAGTGGCCTTTTTGATTACCTTTACGGTAACTAACCCATAAGTGTTATTTGTAGAGATAGGAAATTTGTTTGATAAAGTTAGATTGGAATTCTGTATCCATTCCCCTGGAACTAACTCCCATTGCATTCAGTAAGGTGTTTGATTGTTTGCTTGCTTGCTTGGTTATTTATTTATTTTTACCATTTATACACTCCCTGTATCCTACTCACTTTTTAATAGGGTTGTACTACTAGGCTTCATTATCAGAGGTAGTCAGTACTGCAACTTTCCCCCCTCAAGTTATAGTTAGTTGGACACCACAGACAGAATTAGGCAAAAACATGTATTTTTGTTCTCCGCATCTTACATAGAGCAGCAATCTAGCTTTTCTCATTGTGCTAACACTATCTTTCTTAATCTGGTGGCATTAATATGCCTAATATTTATGTCCAACATTAAGTACTTGATGTGCCTAACATGCAATCATTGTTAAGAAAGAGCTGTATCCATTCCAACAAACTACTAAATACCCAATCACATGTTATTATTAATCCAGAATCTGCTAGATTAGATTTGCAATAATTGAAAGTTGACTTCTAACATGGTAGAATATTGGTTTTTATTGTTAATCAATAAAAATATTGTTTGTATTGGATTAGATTCTTTTGATGCACTTGCGTGAGAAGCAATTCAAACTGAGCTATACTGATATAGGCATAAAACTGAAAGTACATTAGTGTTATGTTAATACTACCAATAATATAGGTGGAAAATCTAGACCTGTCTCTACATTAAATTAATCAAATAACAAACCTCATTCATTCTTTCTTCAAATTCTGCCAAGGCCTTGGAACCCTTCTTCTTCTTTTCTAGTTGTTCTTTTACTTCTTCCCTTAAATGAAAAAAAAATACATACCCTGTAACTGATACACAAATTTAGATCTGAAGATATTAACTTAAGGAAACTGATAGAAAGCTTCCTTTCTTTCTCCATGCGCCTAAAGTTTTGTGCAAGGGTATGCAACTTCTATCAACTGAAAGGCTACACAAAGCTTTGTGGAACACATTAAGAACTACATTCCAAAAGTGGGCAGGGCCAGTAGTTTTAAGGGGTGGGATCATAAGTTTAACAGATGAAATTTTATTTATTTATTAAATTTAAATGGCCGCCAATCTCAAATACATGACTTTGGGCAGCTAACAATAATTATAAACTACCATAAATTATGCAGTTGAATTTCCCACATTTGAGGAAATTGCGGGGGTTAGCACACCGGGAGTGCAATGGGTGACCCTCACCCTGGGAAAATCTCCTTTGTGATCAAGGATTCTCCCCTGCCAGGTAAAAGCCATAAAGCATTTGTAAGCCTTAAAGACTTCCATTTTGCCCCACAGACAAAAAGTGAATCATGACCCAAATTTTGAGCCTACCCATTATAGGATGAGTTCCAGAAGCCAGAAAAGGGATGCTGGTGGCCCACAAGTAGACCTCAAGCTCCATTTTTTACTCCCTGGTTTAATGTCATATGTGAACCAGACCACTAATTTGGGGCACAGGTATTACATGAAGGCAAACTTTACTACATTTCTTTCTTACAGAGGAATCCTTTAAAAGGAACAAAGTCATCATTTTTGTACATACCATGTTGGTCTTGGTCTGTTCAAGTAGTCTTGTATGGTAGGTCCTGAAGATGGAGCGGGACCTCGTGATCTAGCCATTGCTATGGGATTCATATATGCCTTAAATATGACAAGGAAAGAGTGAGAGAACCTTAAGTTATTCCAATCTGCAACCCTTAAAAATAGCTTTTTCCCCCCTCTGGAAGTTAATCTTAAAAAATGATCATATAGCCAATCTACACAAGATACCAACAGAATTGTAAATACTTTAAATAATTGACAGCATTATCTGAAGTCTTGGGAAGAGACATTGTTGAGATAATATATTTTGTGTTGGGTTCATTTTAGTGATGCGTCCTGCTTCCTCTCCAACTGTTATAAAGAAAGCTAGTATTTAAATGTATTTATTTACTGTCAAACGTTTATCTATAAATCAAATTTATTATATTTGTATTAAGTAAAAAACAACTCCCTGTGATTAATGGAACACCCTAAGTGCCATATAGTTTGGCATTTTGGAGCGGTATGTTGAGATTTTTCTTACCCTTAAGTTGCCTCAGCAAAAGCTGTGTACATTCGGACCCTGGAAATCATTCTGCTCAAGAAAAATGGTACACAACCAATACAGAGGACCATCTAATGCTGTAATATTTAACATCATATGGAAGGATAGCAACAAAATAAATATTCTTATGGTACCATTAAGACTAAAAAGAAGCTTATCACTAAGCTTACCAAGAGAATATGGTATATAAGAGAGAGAATGAATGTTGTTCCTACATTTCCTTCCTTTCCTTTCTCTGTTCATGCATTTTTGTATGCTAATACATCAATTTTTGATGACCTCTAAGGCACAGAACTGTAATTTATTCTTTATGGGTCAAAACCAAAGAAAGCGTGATAATGTATTTTGGGAGTACTGTATTACCTTAAGCCACTTTCAAAAATATCTTTGGGTAGTAAAAAAATGTTCCTCAAATCCAACGCATGGTTATGGAAATTCACTTAATTCTACTTTTTTATATCATGGGTTTTTTTTTTTATCATAATGCTTTTTTTTAAACCTCATAAAGGAAGGAAGGAAGGAAGGAAGGAAGGAAGGAAGGAAGGAAGG